TCATTAACAACCTGTGATATGCAGATGATACAACCTTGCTTGCTGAAAGTGAAGAGGACTTAAAATATTTACTGATGAAGATCAAAGAGCATTGCCTTCAATATGGATTGCATCTCAATACAAAGTAAACAAAAATCCTCACCAATGGACCAATAAACAACATTCTTATCAATGGAGAAAAGATTAAAGTTATCAAGGACTTCATTCTTCTTGGATCAACCATCAACACTCATGAAAACAGCAGTCAAGATATCAAGCGACGTATTGCATTAGGCAAATCTTATGCACAAGACCTCTTTAAAGTGTTGGAGAGCAAAGATGTGAGCTTGAAGACTAAGGTGTGCCTGACCCAAGCCATGGTATTTTTCAATAACCTCATATGTATGTTAAAGCTGGACAGTGAATGAGGAAGACCATAGAAGAATTGATGCATTTGAGTTCTGGTGTTAGAGGAGAATATTGAAATTACCATGAGCTACCAAAAGAACAAAGAGATCTTTGTTGGCAGAAGTGCAGCCAGAGTGCTCCATGGAGGCCAGGATGCCCAAAATTCGTCTCTCATACTTCGAACATACTGTCAGGAGGCAATAGTCGCTGGCGAAGGATATCATGTTTGATAAGGTGGAGGGTCAGAGAAAAGGAGGAAAGACCTCCCAGCAGAGATGGATTGGCAAAGTGGCAGCATCAATAGGCTCAAGCGTGGCAACAATAGTGTGTGGTTGGCCCAGGATCGGGCAGTGTTTCGTTCTGTTGTGCATAAGGTCCCTATGAATCGGTACCGACTTGATGGCACCCAATAACAACAACAAAACCACACCAGGGCACACAGTAAATCTTCAGTGAACAAGGAGTCTTTATTACTCTTATTAAGATGTATGAGAAATTTTTCAAAAACTAGAGGAAGGCTTGCAAAAGAAACATCTGAATACCATTTTCTAAGTGAAAGTAAAATAGCTGTCCTGCTCTTTTGTATCAATGGCACTTCTTTGGGAAAGGATCCAAAAATTGACAGCCAATTGTTTTGTCCCTTTCCTTAGGAGACTTTTGTGGGATTGAATATTTTCTTCATAATCTCTACATCCCTACAGGATAGTCATCCTTGGAATCCCTCACACTTTACATCTCCACTTCTCACACTCTTCAACTGTAAAGATATTTCAGACTCTTGGTTCAGATTCCATGTATGAGCCTCATTCAGTAAATTGGTGAAAATTTCAGTGATTCTCTTTGTGTTTGTGTTGAGTGGGGAAGGGGATGTTTCCTGAGTGCTGACAGTAGACTAGTTTTCTAAATAGCTTGACTTGAAAACGAGGTAGTTCATGCTTTAAAAGGCAAGGACAATAGTCTCTGTTTTAATTCACGATACCTCCTAGTAGTTTGCTGTCAGACATACCATGTAGAGTCTTTCCTTGTATTAATTCTCAAAGCTACTACAGATCTATTCTGTAAATGCCAGAGTGTGCCAGATGCTTTGACACGTGCAGGGAAACCAGGCTAGACCACACTGGTGCAAGAGTACTTGGTTCCACATTGCATAGAAGTGAATAGCGGAGCACAGCCTCTCCTATCCAGCCTTTGCCCCACATAATTCCACACTTGCTTTCCAGGGTCCCTTTCTTATATTCTAACTGCCCTTCTAATTTCCACAGCAATTTAAACTGAGCTGGTCTGGGCACATATTCAGTTATTCATTAAACACCATGGGGCTCAATAAATACTTGTTAAATCACACTGTTTATTTGCTGCCTTAGAACTAGTTTCCAGCTTTATTATTTAAATGAAATTTTACCTTGTCTTGAAAACTAGGGTGTAAATTTCTTGCATATGTTGACTTCTACATCATTCCTATCTCCTGTAGTGCTGCACTTGATTCTTCCTCAGTCTATGTTTTTAGTATTAGGCTTTGTAAAAACTACTCTGCAGAAATGGGTCCAAACCCTAGGAGTTGGGTAACATTTTTGCCTTAACTTGTCATACTTTTATTGTGATTATTAGGAGGAAATAACATGCAATACTTAGCAATTACTAAGTCATTTTCAGATTAAAACCTAATAAAGCTTATGTTGAGAAATGGAAACTTACTCATAAACGGTTGTCCATCCATTTTCGTTACTTTTGGTAGCCAGAAGCCCTGTGTTTCCTGGATAGGTCATTAAGGCCAGATTGTAGCCTTGGGCTGACACTCTTTTCAGGACTCCATTGCTGCTTATGGTCAGCCAGTATACCTGCCCTCCAGGCACCACAAGCCAGAGGGGCATCCCCCCTGCATCCCGGCGTATGTGCACTGAATTGCCATTACTGCTAGTAATTGCACCCAAGTCACCTTCAGCATTGTAGGTGAAGTTATATACGTAGTCCCTCGTTATCAGGTTCAGGGTGTGCAGGTGGGTTCCGTTGACAGTGAACTGGTAGAGTTCCTGATCAGCAGGTGAGGCAATCTCATAAAGGTTCATGTCATTCAAATGGGCTTGGTTTTTGCTGATGGTACGGATGCGGACATTCCCAAGGTCTGCCACATAGAGGGTACCATCAGGGGATACCGCTAAGGAGGAAGGGGCTTTCATCTTTGCATCTTTGGCATAGCCACCGTCACCTGTGGGTGGAAGATCCTGATATGAATCATTGGCATCACCGCATTTATATGAAAAGACCATATACAGAAAACACAGCACCAAAAATTATTTTAAAGGGAATCATTAGTGAACCGACATTCTCCACATGCCCCCCCTCCTTGACAAATTTGAAACCCATTATTCAAAAGATTATAATTCTTGAGTCAGTACTACTGAAGATGAACAGTAGGATGTAATTATCTCAGTTACACCAATTTTGTGAAATGCTCAATCCTATTATTCAGAGTCTATTGTATTGCAAAACACAAGAATAGCAAATAACAGCCACACAAAATTTGGCTAAAATCTATGAGACAGATGACTGTCATTGTGTATAGAATCTGTCTCAGGACTTTCCAGCCCTACTGTGTGGGCACCGAGGTTCTTTCTTCTGTTAATTCCCAGTGTCACACAAAGTACACTAAGTTTATAAGTGCAGCAGTGATTCAGAACATCACATTTGATAACTGGAATAAACATTAGATTTGTTATGAAAGAAAGATATAAATCAACAAGATATAAAACTAATTGTCCAGAAAAACATTGGAAATACTGATCAAAAAGTCCTATTGACTAACTTGCTTACCCCGATTCCTCTGGTCCAAGGAAAGGCAAAGGCTAAGAGGACCATTTGGGCCTGGATGAGCAATTTAACAGAGCTGCATGGAGCATGAAGGGATTTCCACATCTCTGCAATACATTTATCTACTGACATTGAAAGGACTGTTTACTATCTGGAAGGCACTTTCCCCCCGCCTATTTCAGTGACAAGGACAGGGCACTATTGGTCCTCAAGAAAGTTTTTTTTTTTTTTTTTTTTTTTTTTTAACCACTGTAAGTGGTACACCAATATCCTAGGGCATCTTCATGGTGAGAATTTCATTTTGTCCATATATCCCCAACACTGCTGTTTGAGTTAGTCCCTTTGAGTTCGAAATAGTACACCGTATTAATCTGGAAACCTATCATTTATGGGATATATTTTTTTCTCCTTAGCTTAATGAGTTAATGTAGGGTTTCTCCCAGTTTCTTTTTGTCCAAAGTAAAATATTATCATAAGCTTATCTTTGTATATTCACCTTAACTTTTTGTTGTTGTTAAGTGCCGTTCAGTCAGTTCTGACTCATAGCGACCCTGTATAGGGTTTTCAAGGAGTATCTGGTGAATTTGAACTGTTAACCTTGAGGTTTAAACCAACCTTGTGGTCAAGTTCTTATCCTATAGTACCACGTATTACAATCTTTTAGACTTTAGCTTCAAAACAACAAAGTGATATAACTGAGGCAATTGATAGTTTCAGTTAAGGAATGAAGTAAGTGAGGTATGAAAACGTCTTGTAGTTTTGCTAGGGTCACTTAGTGAGTCATGTGCAGAACTACAGACACAGTCTAAGCTATCTGACTCCCAACCCATTGCTCTTATGAATGTTCCCAAGTAACACTTTTTTCTTCCTTTTCACTTTTCTGGTGCACGTTTTTCATTTGAAAACAGAGAGAGGGAGCTGGTGAATTGCTGAAAAGGTCATACCCGAAAAACAGTCACAGTTGGGATCAATTTTGCAGTCACAGTCAGTGGGGGCGCCAGCGATGATGGAGATCTCCCCATTGGTGGTGACTTGCTGAATGCGGTTTACTTTCCTCTCGTCTGTTTCAGCTATGAAGAGCAGCCCGCTGTGGGAGACGCTGATAGCCCTCGCAGACTCAAGAGTGGAGTGAATTGCCACCTTGCTGACCAAGAAATGATCGATGCCTGGCACCTGGCAGTGAATGGGGCGTCCTGCAATGATCCGCACACGCCTGTTCTCAGAAATTTGCAGCACAATGTTGTTATCCAAGACATACAATGAATTGTCCATGGGATTGACTGCAAGGTCTGTTGGCCACTCTAATCGCACCTGCAAAAAAGAACAAAACACACACCATTAGGTTACCACATCTTTCCAAGGGGCAGTTTTATCTGGGAAGAAAAATCAGCTTATAGTTTATCTCTGCCTCATAGATTTCAGCAAAGCTGTTGCTGCAAAGTGGAGGGACAGTTAATTAAATATTCAGATAAGCAGATTTCTAATGCATGCAATTTCCAACATAATGTTCATATGTGTTTCTCAATAGTTATAGACAGAACCTCGTTTCTGCCAACATTTATAACATTATTCATGGGCCATACAAAATAATCAACTTACAAATTAGCCTGCTATATTTGGTCAAACATTTAATTAACTCACCCCTAATGTGATGACTGGAACCGTGGTTGCCTTGACAGGGCCAGACCAAATTATTTCATGGACCAAACGTTCCCTACCCCTGCTCTAGAGCAATAGTTTCCACAGTATGATCTCAAGATCAGCAAACACAGCATCACCTAGGAACTTGGAGAAATGTAAATTCTGAGGGCTATCCCAAAGTTATTTACTGAGATTAGATGGGGACCAGACTATCTGGGTTTTACCAGCTTTCCAGGTAATTCTGATATATGACAAAGTTTGAGGACCACAACTGTAGGGCATCTGGGTTCTCTATGATATGCAAATTAATCTCTCCCACTGTCTGAAAGGGAGTCCTGGTATGGGAGTCCCAGTGTGATACTGTGGGTTAATGTGTTGGACTGCAAGGTCAGTTTGAACTGCAAGGTCAGCAGTTCAAATCCTCCAGTTGCTCCTTGGAAACTTTATACAGGGTCACTATGAGTAGGAGCCAACTCGACAGCACATAACAACAACAACACGGAAGGGCAAAGTCATAGACATTTCTGGACAACTGAGTATAGAGAATCCCAATTTTAGCAAACCAGCAACCTCTGAGATAGGACCTTCCATTAGCATAGACACAGCATCCATCTTGTGGAATAATAAGGTACAGGCCATCAGCTGGTGATTTGAAATCCTACGTCGTTAATGCACTACTCACTTAGCTAGACCTGGTTAACTCCATATCCCCCTTTCCTCAGCAAACAAAACAAAACCAAACCCTAAAACAGGTTGATTTCTTCTTTCATTTAAAGTTTTCTGATAATTTTCTCTGGGGAATTCAAAAGACACCTATGACACAATCTTTGCCCTCAAGTAACTTACACAGATAGTTTACTCTAACACTTGGAGGAGTCATTAGACAACTACTCTCCATGTTATGAGAAGGGGGCAGTACAGGGCTTTGGGAGCACCTCAACCAGCTTGGGAGTCAAAGTATTCCCAGAGAAGGTAGCATCTAAACAAGATCTGGGAGGATCAATAAAAGAGAAATCAAGGCGGGGATGAGAGGAGAGCAAAGTTAAGGGCAACCCAAGTAGAGGGAAACACATAAGTAGAGGCCCAGAAGTTCAAGAAATCATGCCTCCTTCAGGTTACTGCAAACAATTCAGTAAAGCTAATATAGACTGAATCAGAATATACGCAGTGGACAGACAATGGAGAGATGTACATGTTGGCTTTACTCTGATGCGTGTGAGAAGCCATTCAAGGACTTTAAGATGATTTGGGTTCTAGAGAGATGAAACTGGTAGCTGTTGAGATCATCCTGGAGGAAGATGAGACATGGGATGAAGGCAGACAGCCTCCTGAACTAGTCTAGGTGAGTAATGATGGTGGCTTGAATTAGGATGGTAGCAGTGAGGATGAAGAGAAGTAGATGAATTTGAGACAATGAAGGAGTTAGAAGTAAAAGAACTGGGTTGTGTGTGTGAAAGTGTATGTGGCTGGTGCTCTTTGTGACAAGTGTACTGGGACACACAGGCCAACACATGGCTCCACTCTAGCTTCTTTCTGGAAAGAGGAGTTGGCCCCAATGTCTACCCTGACTTCTCTTTGATTGTTGTTGTTGTTTAGTGCCGTCGAGTCTATTTTGACCTGTAGCGACTCTGTATAGGGTTTCCAAGGAGCAGCTGGTGAGCTTGACCCACCAACCTTGCAGTTCAAATGGCTTTGCAGTTTGGCACATTAACCCACAGCACCACACCAGGACTCCTCGATGGCTACTATTTATTATCTGGCACTTCTCAGAAAACTGAATCCTATCTCATCCCTCACTTATTCTGTACTTTATTTCTCTTCCTTTATACTAGACAAAGGCAGAAAAATCTGTCCCATTCCTGGCTAAAATAATAACAGTCAAGTTTCCTCTTGTTTTTATTTGCCTGGAAAACCCGAGAAAAGCTTTTGTTTTTGTCACAAATCTGAAAATTGAAAATAATCTGAAACTTTGAGCACAGGATATGGGCTGTCATTACATTCTGAGGCCCACTGTTTCCCTGACTGGAAGAAACCTTACGCACAGTCAATAAGGAAGCAGAGATTAAAAAAAACAAACAAAAAAAAAACTAGGCTGAGATATGGCCCTCCCTCTAATCTGGTCTCTTAGGAGAGGAAACTGGTAATGCTGTAAAGGAAACAAAGGTTGTTTTTGACCTACTTGGAGCTCTTTACCCCTTATCTTTCTGACCCCCAGCAACTTCATTCTGTCCCCCTGCTCCTCCACCTCCACATAGGCTGGCCTTCTCTGGTCAGTACCATCTGCCTCTGGGCAGTGAGGGATTCAAGTGTTATTGGGGTATAAAGCTGAGCTTGTGTTATATCTGTTCTATAGAGCCTTTCAGTCTAAGGCCATTGGATAAACATTAAACACCAGCCTTGACAGTTCTGGGAGCAGTTTGCTGTGATGTGTCCTCAGCATGTCTGTCTGAGGCCTTTGCATGACAGTGCCCTACTACCTAGAGGAAGTGTGAGCACTTGTTGCTGCGGGAGGTGCTGGATCTTTCCCGGCATGTCCCAGATCTCTCTACACACTTTCATGCTTGTACAGAAACTGTCTCTGTGCACTGGTCCTATGCAGCACAGTCCCCCAGGAAATAAACCCAGGCTGGCCGAGGAAGGGAAAATGAATTTATTTCAGTACAACTCTCCTATTTTGATCAAATCTGAAGACAGTGGCCCAGAAAACAATAACAACAAACAACTCTGGCAGAAATGACGTTCTAATTATCCCCATTCTGAGATCCCAGGCCAGGCCAGAGGCCGGGGATGGCACATTTTGGATTCTGGTCTCGGCTGGTAAGGCTCTCTCTGTGGTAAAGGCTGGGAGTTGAAAGATAAGCTGTTAAATTCTTCAACTCACCCAACTTGATTTAAGCCAAGACTACTGGTGTCATGTTTATTAGATTTAATATTGCCTCAAAAATACACCGGCTATTGTGTCTGTTGGTTTTGTTTTTTTCCCCATCAAATAAGTCACCCTCTGGCAATTTCTTGTGACTAAAGTGGCCTTCGTGCTTCTGAGTCACTTTCTACGCAGAATCCCTTTAATTCCCATTTGATTTGGCTGGGCAGCTTGTCTATGAAATCTGCTCAGATGAAAGATGTGTGGCTACTTAGTAGTCCCAGGTCTGACTTTTCAGAAGCTAGACCTCTTCACCTCTCCCTGGTTGTCAGCTCCTTTGATGTCCTTCTTATGTTAAATACTCCTATTTCTAGGTAAGTTTTCAAGGAACTGGTGCTTCACACCCACATAATAGAAACACTGCATTTACTAGTAGAACATTTCCACAACACAAACTAATACATGGAATGGATTCTTGGAGCTGATTCTGTCACTTAGAATAAGCATCTATTAGATACAGAGCCATACCACTGAGGGGGGGCTAAGGTTAAACCCCTAGGATTGTTAGCCATTTATCCAAGTGGTTTTCTGGGGGAAATAAACACTTCTTTTCCGGGAGTGGGAATAGGATGAGTGGAGGAGCCGCAGTGGAGCTTTTGAAACTCTGCCTAATGACCCAGCCTGCATGAAAACCATTTGGTCTAATTTGTGATGGTTGCCCCACTTGTAAAAATATATTAATTTATTTGAAATGTCAAAATGTATTTAAAGTAAGTTAGCATTAAAGGTCACTAACTTGGTGTAGCCGTAAGTTAGTGGAATGTGCCCATGGCCCAAACCCCTTTCCTGAGAAATAGTTCTGAGCAGAAAGGAACATTTGGTCTCGATACCAACCCCTGACAGCACCATGTCTTCCTCTGCTAATTGAAAATTTGTCTTGAAGGGAGTTGACTCACAGGTCAACTAGTCCCATGGTTGGTTAAACATTACAGCTAATTTGGAGCTAAGTAGAAGATAAGGAGCTCTGGTAGCATAGTGGTTATGAATCGGGCTGCGAACAGCAAGGTCAGCAGTTCGAAACTACCAGCTGCTCCACGGGAGAAAGACGAGGCTTTCTGCTCCCATAAAGATTTACAGCCTTGGAAACCCTGTACAGGGTCGCTATGGGTCAGAACCGACTCGACAGCACATAACAACCGAAGATAAAATATGCAAATGTGTAAAAACAATATCCAAATATGAACCCATGAATACATTAAACTCGAAAATTCCTCAGTTATAAATCTACTCCTGCATCACAGACACAAACCATAATTTCTATACTTAGGCTTTCTCTAACAGTCAAATGCTGGTTCCATCCTTTACTATTTGTGTTATACTGGGCAGTTATACTGGGCACATTAGGTGTCCTCTAGGAGTCCTGTTGTGGGGCTGTGGGATAATCACTGGACTGCTAATCTCAAGGTTGGTGGGTCAGCTGTTCCTTGGAAACCCTATCCAGGGTCGTTATGAGTGGTAATTGACTTGACAGCACTTAACAAGTCTCTAGTTTCCTCCTTCTGTTACAAGGAAAAAAAGGGCTAATGGTAGTATATCTACCTTGTAGGATTACTGCATGAATTAAATGAGATGTCATTGATGAATTGTGCCGTTGAGTTGATTCTGACTCATAGTGACCCTATATAGGATTTCTGAGGAGTGGCTAGTGACTTTGACCTTGCGCTTCAAACTGAACTTGTGCTCCAGTACCACACTGTTGTTGTTGTGGTTGTTGTGAAGTGCCGTCAAGTCTTTTCAGACTCATAGC